TATAGGCACATGAGTTACCACTGAATGAACAGCTTTTGAAGGGACTCTCTTGGATCATGTTAGTTGGGTCACTGACCAACAGCCAAACCCATCCAAACCCAAACCCCCAGATCCACCTGTTGGAGCTTGTTCGTTTGGGAGCAAAATTGGCACTCTGCTGAGGGACTGCCACGTGAAGATTTTTCAGGTCTCGCAATTCTGCGTCCTGCGCGGCGTTGGATTGAACGAATTGGGCCATGTTAACTGACTTGTAGTGCCAGTTCGCTACACCTTCTTGGTAGTCACTTTTCCCCTGGGGGGATATTTTGTATATAACAATATTGACAATATCATAGTGAATTTTCATGTTGAAATCACCTAGGCACATCAACTTGTCCAGTCGTGACAATCTGTCTCCTTGTCCAGGGCCTCCCAATTGGCGTCAAGGTTGGCCCTCTCGAAGTTGGTAAGCATTTGCCTTAGACTAGATTGTTGTTTTGATGGAATCTAAGAACTAACCTATCCCAATTCCAACGCCCCCGATTGGAGGCCCAGGAACGAAAAAGGTTTCGATGGATCCCTCCCTTTTGTAGCGCACAACTTCTTCTCGTCGGAGAGCCTGAGCGAGGAAAAGTAAACAGTGTGGCGTACAGCATCTCTGATTCTTGGATCATACCTAACATATCCAGAAGTCCATGTTTTTCAGAAGTAAGGCATGGTGCGAACAGGCAAACACACAAGATAAGTAGCATCATACGTGTGCATGTGCAGGCGTCTATAAACACTTGTCCCCAGTGCCCACATCTGCCATGATACATTTGTTCATCTTGGGCCCAGAAAAGCTCAGGAATGGTCACCTGTCTCTCCCGCAGTGCCGATCGAAAATAGTCATACGCCTTCTGAGGTTCCTCGAGGAACCTTCCACTGTCGCGGCGCAATGCAATTGTCCTCAATTTGCACGGCTCATGGCTCATGGGCCCACCTAACCTGTCCCGTTTCAGTTTTTCAGAGTTAGACCCATAGGCAGTAAAATGTTTTTCTTACAGGACAGCTGAAATCCCAGACCATATAGTTTTGGTGAACCATCCCACATGCTACAGTAACAGACCTCTTCATAGTTACCCACCCATGATAACAATGCTGCATATTGATCCCTCGAATAGGGTATTGTCGAATTACCCCAAGGTGGTTTACGTTAGTTGCGGAGGACATGCAACAACAGCCTCATTCCCATTACATCGAGCGACCAGCCGCGATAGCGCCTGATCCCCCCGTAGCCGCTATCATCAGTGGATGCGTAGATCGTTTTGATTTCGCATCCGCCAGCTGACAGCTCCTCTGCAGTGAGTCGATGGATAGACCCCGTGCAAACATTCTCCAGCAGCATCAGCTTGGTCTTCGCGTGAAGTTGATATCTGACAGGGTGCGCAGGCATCCTTAATTTCAAATTTTACATTTGAATGTATATAATACATGTACGACACATATATACATACATGTAAACATATGAATTACCTGGGACATGTTAGTACTTTGTGTGCGTGACGTTCATCTCACTAGCCTCTCTCACGCCAACCCCTCGACCGATTTTGATTTTAAATTTCACACATGTGTCATGTTAGCGGCCAAGCTGTTTGAAGCAATCGTTTTGGATTCCGACGGCCTGAAATGTGTCAGAGCTGCTCGCCGTCCAGGACCCTCGTTCTGGCTGTATGATCCGGCCAAGGAATCGTCTTTGCAACTCACTGCTGAGAAATCCTGGGCTCAGTGCGTGTCCGACTAACATGTTCATAACGGTTTCAAGCATCATTACTCTTGAGATACCGCAAAAAGGTTTGCAGTAAAAAGTTTTCAGCTCATGGCTAGGACAAGGTACTATGTCCTGGCCTGCTGGGAGGGCACACCCTTTGGCCTGCAGGGGATGCCGAAGGCACCGCGCTCGGCTGACAAAATTGGCTGAATCCAGGATGACCTTGATGTGCTCGAAGCTGCATGGGTCAATCATTTTGTCCCTGGACTTGCCATCCAGTGTCTGAAGAACCTGCGGAGGTGGGCAGCGCAACAGGGACAGATTCCGGGGCCATTGTCCCAAACACAAAGACAAGAAGGCAACTGACTGTGTCCCTACGACAGGATGGCTGGAAGACTGCTTCCCGTTTGGGACATGTTAGTTGGTAGGAGAGGCAAGGCTGGTCGGTGTGGCTTGCGGATCAAATCAAAAACGAAACAAAAGCATCCAAGGCGCATCTTCAAAGACACAACAGCGGCCAAAAAAACGATCTTTGAGGATGCCCTTGGTGACATTCGGGTCGCTGTCACACACCGACGCCTTGGCAGCAGTTTCAGATTCCTAACATGTCCCACCTGCAGCGCCCCCAAATGATCAACGGGGTCGTTGGGCGAAATCTGGCCCCATACGCTCCACCAATGCCACCGAGACTCAAACTCAAATCTGAACTTGGCGCCGTCCTGCGCTGAAAGGATTGACGCTGCTCTGGAAACAGCATCAAGCCTCAGATATTCCAAAAACAGTGGCAAAGATGGGGCCTTGATTTGTCAACCATTCCGGGGTCATTCCTCAAAAGTGGTCACTGATTCAACTTTTGCCCTTTGATGGATATGTTAGCTGTTCACATTTTCATGCAAGAGACTTACCGTACACATACACAAATATTATTTGTATAAAAAAATAAACAAATATAATCATATATATATATAAATGTGTAATTATATGTGTGCAGTGCACCATTTTTCCTGAGAACACCAGGGTGCCGGGAGGGAGGGTTGAAAAACGCAGCGGCTGACTCCGGCTGACTCTGGCTGACTCCGGCTGCACTCGACCTTTTGAAATTCCTAAACCCTCTCTCCTGGCACAATGGAGACAACAATCATTTTTAGATCTTTTGGTCATTGAAGTTTCGTTTAAGTTGGTTTACGCATGGGATATGTTAGCTGCTGTGAACATAGGCTATGATTATTTACGCTGTTTGTCATTTCTGGTCTTCCAGTCCCACAGACCAAATAGGTAGGTACTCTACTTCATGCACGATCATGGTCCATACCCCTAAATGGACTGGAGCACGCACTTTGCAGAGAACCAGACTGGACATGTTAGCTGCTGTCAACCAAGCTGCCCGGAGAAGAAGGATGACGCCTTGAAAACATCATCTCTGAGCAGTAAAGGCTTGCCCTTCTCCAGAAGGCTGCTGCTAAACTCGATTGCGCGTTTCATCACCTGAGTGGGCAAGCGCAGTGTTTCTCACATGTCGGCCCCAATCACTTAACGTATCCCATTGCTACCACAAGCAAAAATGTTCTTTTCCAGCTCAGTCCTTCCAAACAAAAAGGTCTTTTTACATGCTTGCAAGGTACCGTCTTGCACCAAGGCGCTGCTTCCACCAGCGATTGGCTCTGCACGTCCTTCATCCTGACCGCAGGTCGGTCAGAAGGCCAGTTCGAGACAAATGGCTGCCCATTCGGAAGCTTGTGCTGCTTCGGCTGGACAGCTGGTTCTGCTTGTACCTTGAATGGGAGCAGCTAACGTGTCCCCTTTTGGGTAACCATGGGTGACAATGAAAATGGATGAAAATGAAAACGGATGAAACTGAAAATGGATGAAGATCAGTTCCTAAGCGAGTCCCTGGATAATCGCGTCAGACCAAAAGACAAGGAAAACTGCCCAGAGCGTCTTGGCCTAGATACGGATGCTCCTTCAGGCAGGTTGGCAAAGTGACCAGGGGACTTTGCCTTGATACGTCGCTTAACCTGAGATGGGACAGGTTAGTTTACACCTGCGTCCTGTATGCGCCAATTGCTTGAAACATGTTGGAACAACCTAGATGGCTTGACCAAAAAAAACACAAAATCCCTTGCAAGGAGCTTGCTTGGGGGACTTGAAAGTCTCATCCATAGCAACAAGTTCCGACGACACCTGCTCTTCGTCGTTGGGGTTCATGGCTCTAAACCCTTCTAGAGCCAGATGCTGGGGCGTCCGGGGCGGTTTTCCTGGGAACCCTCAGAGGGGGGGGACAACTTTTCCACTAACATGTCCATTCTGGATTTTCAACTAACATGTCTCAAGTATAGGGCACTTATCATAGCCTATGTTCACAGCAGCTAACGTATCCAATTTTTTTTTCCACAAAAAAAGTGGATACGTTTGTTCCCTGGAGAGTATCGTTTTTTGAAGAGTGTATTATCGTTTTTCAAACCCCAGATCAATTTCAAAAAATAAAGATGTCTCGAATACTACTCTCCTTTCACCTAAATTTTGGCTGTAGCTCATATCATTTCTGTTATACTTATAAATCAATGTATATATATATAATATACCAATATCATATATGGTTTGGGTCCAGATTTTTCTTTATGGCCAGTTGGGTATGATCTCCATGGTTTCAACGAGAAAACATGGCACACGATGGAACAAGAACGCAAGGGTCTCGTGCTGCAAAGGAGCAACAACTTGTGAAAGGGTGACCGAAACATCCCCAAATGAACTTTGAATTATGGGCCAAGTAACAATATGGTTCATTCAAACGGGTTAATCCAAATGTTATTACCAAACAATATGCAACAATGGTTAATTCAAATCCAAATGAATGTTTCTCAGTTTCTCGCATCCCACATGTTCCGCTGAAATTCCCTGGTTCCTGGTGATTTCCGAATGTTTCAAGATGGATTTGACATATCCCGAGAAGTGATGGGAATGCATCAAAATCCTTGTACCCTAGTATACTATGGTGTACTGTATCTTGATAGAACCAACTTGGAGGTTATACGGCGTTATTTGGTATTCAACTATCTCAAGATCTCCATTTTTCGTGTCCTTAGTTTAGTGCACGTGCTTGATGATTGAATCTTTCTGTGGAAAAAGAAACCTGTCATAAGCCATGCTCCATCTAAGTTTCTCTTCCAAATACACATGATGAATCGCCCAAAATCTCATAAATCGTTGTGCATCCCGTCCCCCGTGATTTCAGAGGAGTTCTGGCATGGATGAAGCGTCCAATCCCAGACACATTCAGGCGATAGTTCTGGAGCGTCAGCAGTTTCCAAATGCTGGGTCCCCAGTAGATGAGGCGCCTTAAAGCATCTGACATGCGTCGTCAAATGCATTGGTGTGTACAATATATCTATATATATGTATTTATCTATCTATCTATCTATCCGTGCAACAAGATATGTATATATACATATACATAATAGTAAAAACAATAGTAACAATACTAATAAAACTCATAAAAAATAATCAAAATAATAATATATCATAGTATATATATATACATATTGTTTTATAAAACATATATGTATATATTATATATAATAATAAATATGATATAATATATATATATATAGCATATATGTAATATATAAAATAACAAAATATATAATACATATAATACATAATACTATACAAAACATAATATAATAATGTATACATAATAGAATATATATATAATATAATATAATATAATATAATATATAATATAATATAATATATTATATTACATTACATTATATTATATTATATTATATTATATATATATATTATAATATAAAATATAATGTATAATATATATAATATAGATAATATATTATAAAGAATATAATATATAATAAAATATATGATATAATAAATATAATATATAATAAATAATATATAAGATATTATTTTTAATATAAAAGATATTATATATAATATATAAATAATATAAGATATTATATATAATATATAATATATATGATATTATATATAATATATAATATATAAGATATTATATGTAATATACAATATATAAGAAAATATATACAATATATAATATATAAGATATTAAATATAATATATAATATATAATATATAATATAGTATAAAATATAATATAATATATAATATATTATATTATATTATATATTATATATAATATAATATAATATAATATAATGTAATATAATATAATATAATAAAATATAATATTCTAGCAAAATCTTACCCATATTCCAAGGCTGTTCATATTCCATGCCCAAATAGCTCCGGAAATTTGGAAAATAATGAACGACCTTTGATGATGAGAATAAGGTTGTGTGACCCTTGTCAGGCGCTCCCTTGTCACGTGCTGTCATGTCCAGTCGCACATGTTTAACCCCGCTGAGAACCTTCTCAAGCAATGATTTCTTGAATAAACATAATCATAAAGTCTTGTTTCTCTCATCAATCATCAGCTTCTCTCTAGGATCTTTCAAAACCATTGGATAAGCTGTTCAGCTTATTTTTTGACGCGTTTGGCTGGCGGCTCAGCTTCCGCATCTGTAAACGGGGCCAAGTCTGGATTACGCTGTTCTTCCTCGAACCCAAATGGTACCATATTTCCACTTAATACAGTTACATTGAGTAGGATGCCACCCCTGGAGTACGATGCCCCCCCCATATGCGTTGCCGTTCCTGCATGTGGGCTTCTCAGGCATATGTTAATATCATGTTTGATCAATTCGAGGCTGCAAATTCCATTCCACATACCCACAAGGCATCACACTCTGTCGCGCACGACTAAGACAACAATCGAGAATTTCCATAGCCTCCACGGGTCAAAAGTATCAAAATTTCATGGAATGCGATTGTATGCGCGACTGTTCAAAACGCTGGAAAAACAACAATTTCCCCCATATTCCATATTATCAGATTCCAGAGCATTTTACCTCCGAAGAGGGAAAAAAAAAAAAGCTCTTCAGGTCAATTTTTCGAAAAAAAAGTTTTTGGCTGTCTGCGCAAGTTTTTCTGGTGTACGATCCCTTTTGTGGAGTACGATGATCTGTGAGTAGGTGTGTGGAGTGCGATGGGGTCCTCTGGGGTGCGATGACATCCCTCGAGTGCGATGCGACATGAGTATGCGCGGCCGGAAATCCCCTGAGAGAAGGATTCTGGGCCACAATTCCCCATTTTCAACAGAGTGGGCGGATGCTGGTTGTTGTAATTTAACAGGATTTCAGCCCACTCAACAAACAAGTCAAACAATATGTTGAAACCCTCTCCTTCTTCAGTCTCCAAAATGGGAAACTCACTTATCAGGACACGCTTTAGTTCATCCAGGCTCCATAGCATTTCAGGAACAACACAAGGCATCGACATGGTGCCAAACAATTTCCAAATTGAGCTGAAAGGTCTTCCCATCGCAACCAGTCAATTCACAGGTGTGAAACATGTCACACACAGGGAAACAGGTTGGGAAAACAGTGGGTCCAAAGAGACAGGTCTGGAGTACGATGGATTCATAGTATATGTACATTTTCTGAATTTGGGTAACTTGGAGCTAGAAATATATATTATTGAATATAATAAATAACATTTAACATATAATGTAAAATATAATATATATAATATAATATAATACATAATATAGTAAATAACATTATATATATAATATAATAATATATATAGTGTCAAGTGAGGATTAATAAACCCCTCCCGATCAATCAACCACCACTGCCCCCAAAAAAATGGTAATTTAAAACAGGTGGTCCCCCCTGATTAATAAACTGTTTGGCCTACCCCCGATTAATAAACCACCAGTGCTGAAATTTACCCTTTTATCCAACAATTTTTATGTCCAATTCTATTTATTTCCAATTGTTTTTTACATTTTGTTATCATCATTGTTATACCTAAGGTTTAAGTCGATCATTGAAAATTTCAAAAAACAACTATTCCCCAAATGATCGATTTCTAATTAACATCTCTATAAAAAAACATCAGTTTGGTCCCCCATTAATAATAATCAGGGTTTGCCCCTGATTAACCAACCACCATGTTCCTAATGTGTTTTCTTTAGATTTGCCTATTCATTCCCAATGTCCCCCATAGCTTTCAGCCAATTGACGTAAGCCATATCCAAAATTTTATGGTTCAGAGGCCGTTTGTTTAGGGGGGAACCAAAAAAGACCTTGCAAGGTCTACCCTGACCTTCTTGGGGGGGGTTTATTAATCCGGTGTTGGCATTATATATATTATATTTTATATAATACATCAGAATCTTGACACACAATGGTACACTGTTTCCCTGATCCCATGATATGGCGAATAGCTACTCATGATATGCTACAATAGCTACCCATATATCATTGCCAGGTATATCCTCCAGTGTCGTGGCGTTTCTGGAACCCAACAATTTCATGGAGGTTCTAATTAATGGTTAGTAATGCTTTGAAATGCTTAGTAATGGTTAGTAAATGTAATGGTGAGTAGTGCTTAGTAGTGCCTAGTCATGCTTCGTAACTTCGTTCCCATCACCGAGGCCAGGATACATCGGCATCCTGAGGCAACGGCAACGATAGGCCGAAATCCTTTTTTGGGTTTCTGCTACTGCTATGATTTATATAACTTACTTCACCACCAAATGGTGATTCAACATGGATTTCATGGTCTACCTGCTGGGACTAAAAGTGAATGAAATGAATGACCTCTGCTCAGGGAAATTATGTATCGATGGGTATAAATGGGTAATGTTCAATTGCTATGTTGGTGTACTGGAGGGCAATATGAGACTTCAGGGCCAGCTGCAGTCGTTTTAAACTGTGGATGCTGCGACGCTACTAGGCATCTGTATGTTTTGCCAGATTTAAATCAGAAGCACTCTAGCTAGTCGAAAGAATCAGACGTTTCAGAAAACTGTTTTTTTCGTTCTTGGAAACTCATGATGTCAGCCTGCTCTTCTGTGGATGTCGCAGGGAAACAACGAAGATAGCTGCCCAATGAAACAAACGGATAACAGTAGTTATGTAGTAGCTATGCATCCTTGAACTCCATGAAGTTCAACCGGGATTCTCCGGGATTCCAAATGAGAAATTGATGAATCTAAGAAGAGACATCGCGACTGACAAGTGCATCAAGTGCATGTTGAAGACCGAAGAACTCTGGGGAAATGAAAGTGATATCGTGATACCAAAGGAAACAACATCAATCACCATCATTTAGTTATTCTTTTCCACTTGGCACTGAACCGATTGAAATATCAACACCAGTTCTTCTTGTCAGCATCGAGCCAAGAGAGTAAATATGTAGCCGCTGAATTGGTCAATTGTAAGCCATGGCCAAATGGTACCAAGGAAGCCAAGTGAAAGGCACGCTCAACTCAAAGAGATGAGAACCTCATAATCTGGTTTATTTTGTGATAGCGGGGCATACAAACAAACAACTCTCTGTTTCCCTTTCCCTCTATTATGTATGTATGTATATTATATATATATATATTTATATATGGGTAAATTATAATAGTTCACCAACCTGAATCTTGCGGCCATTTGGGGATCATGTCCTCTTACTAACTATGATTTCCAGTGAGGTCGCAGTGAGGTCGTTGTAATTTACCCAGATATATATGTATATACTCACCAGAAAGGAGTGAAACTCCAAACCAGAAACAAAACCAGATTTCTCCCGGCAGCATTTTAAGTGCGACTGTCCAGCCCATAAAACAACTCCAAAAACCCATCCGGACGAATGAGATGACACTTCCACCGGAGTATTTCCATGTTGTGAACTCGGAAGATGGTTTCATGTATTTGCATAATTATATTATATAGATATTATATTATATATATAGAATAGTTGATATGTTATATATATATATATATATTATATATATATTATATATATATTATATTATTCATTATATATTATATTAGATATATATATATTATTATATATTATATATATATTATATCATGTATTGTATATATTATATTATATTTTGTTTATGTTATATATTATATATTAAATATTAGATATTATTCATTATATATTATATATGATATAACATACACAAACTAAAATATACAAATAATTATATAACTACAAATAATCATATACATAGATATATAGAATCTAAAACATTATAGGATTACATAATCTATTGCCCCATATTGAATGCATCCAACACACCCATCGTATTGTCGACTTCCGCCCAGCGTCACATTCATCAGCAGTAGGGTGCCCCCGAGACCTCTCAGCACAACTTCCTCGTGACGGAGGTCAGAATCGTTGCTGGTCAATTACACGGGACAGTTTCACAACAACATCATGTCCCCATACACCAGAAATATACATAGATATACCTAAATCATCATGATTGATGTGGTTGTCTCAACAGAAAAAACAACGTATAAAGGTAGAATATACCTATATATATATACTATATTACACCATCTCCCCAACTAGCATGGACCATTGGCCGACCTTTTTTTTAACAGAAACACTGGGGGATCATCGTTGGCGATTGCAATGATTTTTACTACCGGTTACCCTCTGGTAAATTAACATGGCTATGGACAATATTGCCCATGTACAGATGATTTTCCCACTAAAACCTCCATTTATATAATGGATTTTCCATAGCTATGTTAAATAATCAGATGGTACCTGTTACTACCTTCTGGGTACTCAGACCTGGCAACGAAAAATCGTTGCATGTTCAATGGGTTATCCACAAATCAAGGATTCCTCTTTGCCAGCTTAGACTACCTGAGGGTAAGCCCCGTTGGTTGTGGCCAGCTACGCCAAGCTCGACCAAGGTGCTGGCTCCATAGGATACGATGGGCCTGCTCGGGCCAATCTTGTCCCCTGCCAAAAAGGTTTTCATATGTTTTCATGCAGTTTCCTCCATGTTTTCAGGTCCACACCCACAAATATAATGAACAAAGTTGGTGCTATATCTCATGAAACATCCACATTTGTTGATTTTCCATGAATTCTATTCTCAATATTTTTGTTGGATATTCATTGAAATTTATATCGAGTTGCTATCCACATTTATCGAATTGCTATATATTATGATTTTCCCATGATATCCACTATCATGATTTTCCCAAATAGCAATTCGAATTGCTATAGATCATGATTTTCCCATGATATCCTCAATATTCACTGCTTCTATCTTCATCTTTGGTCGGCCACCTGCATTGATGATGGCCTGCAGCAACGGATCCTGGCTGATCATGTCCCCATGCAGTCTGGATGTGTATATTGGGTACGGTATATTTATATTGGTATATTAATATTGGGTATATTGAATATATCAATATATGCTATATATATAATGATATTGTGTAATGACCAAATAGGACTATTGTGTCCATCGGGTATAGATAGTATAGATAGTACAATATTGAACAAAGACCACATGATAGTCAAATGAACTTATACAATGGGTTTGTCTTGAAATGGTCAAGAACCAACATGATTCAAACGGTTGTGTTTAATGGGTTTGCATAACACTCAACCACTGGATTTGGTGGTACCACTGGATCTTGTGTATAAGGGGCTGAAAAAAAGGTCATTATCAATATGATGATTCAATATAACCATAGACTTGACTGTAATTGATAATCATATTGGTGACAATACTATAGTGTTTACAATGATAACTTGGTATAATATATGCTGTATATACTGTATATAATTACAATAATGGTGCAATAATGGTAATGATATTACAATATATTACAATGATAGTCGGCTGAATTATCCGTATAATGCCCATGATGGCCTATAATATTGCTGATACTTGGTAGATGATTGAAGCTGGAAATAGTTATCACTATCGTGTTGTTGAAGCTAGATCGTCCATCTGTATGATTTGGATGATAATACAACATGGCTGATAACTGCATGACATATCGTCATTACCTGGAATGATCAGGGGGATGATACCCTCTGGTAATTTAACATAGCGAACTGGACAATCACCATTATTAATAGGTAAATCAACTATTTTCATGGCCATTTTCCATAGCTATGTTAAATTACCGAACTGGTTGGTAGTTTCAACCCCTCTGATAAATATGCTCGTCAGTTGGGATGATTATTGCCAATATATGGAAAAAAACATGTTCCAAACCACCAACCAGCGAATATATTCATCCCATGATTAGCCGGTGGTCTGCTCCTCGATGTCTGGAAGTTCAGAGAAGCCCTCAGCCCCGACGATCACCTATCAGTGGAACCATTGGTTCGGTGCCACCGAATGCTTGGAGAAAATGCAGAGGTGAAACAATGTACGCGTACATAACATTACCGGTTGGTGGTGCAATAACCATCTTGAAAAATATGAAAGTCAATGGGAAGGATTATCCCATATATTATGGAAAAAAATGTTCCAAACCACCAACCAGATTGTATAAATGATTAGTTACATCTTATGTAAGTCTAAATGTATATCATTTGGAATCGATAAAAGCATCACATGAATTGGATGTTCTGGGAAAAGAGCTGACGACATTATATCGAATCATTCTGCACTTTTGGGGGGTTCAACCGTTCAAATGTTTGAAACTGGGAGCCACTACAGTGTGTTTTTCCATCCAATTGAAATTTCTTTACAGTGTATGTAGTCCATACAAACAAATTGTTGTGTTGCATGATATTGTTCTTTACATAAAGACCTCACTCATATGTGTGTGTGTGTCTTTCCTGAATCCTCAGAAGTTCTCCTTTCTGGTGCTAATCTTTGACACCTCTCAAATATGGCACAAATACCTACAGTTGTATTTAAATAACCTTGGCCCACCCAAAATCAATCAAATAACATCAAATAACCAAGAATTAACTGATGCTGGCTGGGAGGCTGGGTTGAACTCAGGTGATGTTTCCCTATGGTTCCATTGTAAGGGAACAATGCCCCCAAACTCCCAGCCCTTCAACCATGGTTCCAACTTGGATCCCCCAGCGGATGATGACGGGTGGTTCCCAAATTCTTCCCGGCAGTGTTTCCCCTAAAACCTTCAAACGCAAACACATCCAGTTTATTTTAAGGTGTCCAACTAGGTGTATATGTATATGTATATATAATTATGTATATAAGCACAAGTTCTTCAGACATCCCAATTTATTTAAATCCCTTGATGTCAATGTCCCCCCTTAGATTTCCGTTAATTAAACAACCACAACCGAAGGTTGGGCATTTCCCAGGGCGCCAGGGCACCGTAATGATGGCGGCAGCACACCAGCCAATAATACCTAGGATGTCACATCGATGTCTCGGAAATCCTGGCTACATCATATCTACTATCAGAATCTATCAGATAGTATACCTATATATATATATATATGGTTAGTATATTTGATAGTATACTATCTACTGGTAATATAGTAGCTATATATATATATAATCATCATATCCATATATATAGTAGATATACTATCAAATATACTAACCATAGTATGTACTACTATAATTATTACAGATATAAGATAAACACACAGTTCGATGTGGAAGCGAAAGGGCATTTTGTGCAGATATCTAAACAGAAAGCATGTTGATGACTGTTGATAACAACATGGCAACAAACTGATTGGAAAATACAGCAAGTCGAAGACGTAGAGGAAACAAAATTGCTACCCTGACTGCTGTGCCAAAATCTCCCAATGGCTGGGTCTTAACATCCAAAAATCAACCATGTTCTATGGCTAATGTCTGGATCAAAATGGGTATATCCAAAAAAAACACCTGGTTCCCCAAAAACGTCGATTCTGAAACCAGTCAACCCACTGCAGTTTGGGGAACGAACTGGGAGCTTAAGGTCTGTGATTCACGATGATCCCCTTCTTGATCGCAGTCATCGGTGCTAAAAAAACATTGCAGCGAATGCGTTTGCTGCTACAGCAAAAATCTGAATGTAATAATGTTGATCACTATGATGGCAGGTGGTTCTTGGTATTGGTAGTAGATCAAAATGGCATCTGAGCACTATCCAAACTCCAAAGCTTCTGGTTGGTTAGGGTTTCCCTACTGATAAGTGGACAATTCCCTACTGGCAGGAATCTCCTCCCCCTAAAATCAAATACCACCCAAACGAAATTCTGGTTTAGTGCAGAATCGGTTCATTTTGCACACCCATATCCAGCCATATGGTGGATATCCAGATAAATGGGGGGAATGGGCTTAACTCGCCATTCGCAGTCAACAACTATAACTCAAATCCCACGTTTCGCAGACAGATTCCCGTTACTGAAAATACTCTTTGATCCTAAAACCATGTTACTAAATGTTTTTTCCTAGTGAGTTGTACCTATTTTTCCGGCAATATCATCTTTTGATCCCATTTACCCTCCCGTCAACGTTGACATAGATGTGGAAAACCCACCATTTGTAGATCATTGTCCTACGGAAACCACGGCTTTTCCGCATCTATATTAGTTTACCCTGGGGCAGATGCTTTGAAAGTTACTGTACATATATATATATATATTATAGATATATTATATATATATATATTATATTGTATTGTATTCTATCATATTATATTATATTATATAAATCCACAACTCGCACTCTTTGCCATCAACCGGCAGGGATCAGCTATCATAAACCAATGGAGGTGTCCTATTAGCATTGAAACAACCAGTCACTTGATCCCCCATGACTTAAGAACCCCCCAAATGAACAACTAATTACCCTCTGGTAATTTAACATAGCTATTGAGAACATATTTTTTTTGTAGGTAAATCATCTATGTATGGACATTTTCCATAGCTATGCTAGTTTACTTGAGGGTACATCTAAATAACCTATTCAACCAATCGCTTTGCCCAGAGTTTCTTCAGCACGGGTCCCATGAATGGCTTCTGCCGCGCTGCTCCAAATGGCAAACCTTGGACCCCGACCACTGAAGCCGCTGAACCCGGGACATGGATGAGAGCGAACCGCTAAAGAGATGGATTTAACTAGTTCCCAACTGGATTTCCCCCCTAGTAATTTAACATAGCTAGGACCTTTTATAGTTGATTTACCCATTAAAAATTGTGATTTTCCATTTTGCTATGTAAACGTTTACCAGAGGGTAACAACTTCGTGTTTGTTTGCCCCAAAAAACGTGGCATTTCACCACCATCCACTGGCCATGATTTGATGATATCTGATAGCTAGATCCTGACCATGATTTATCCACTATGATAGGCCAAAAATGTCATCGACCTGGATCATTTTCTACCCTTGGATTTTGTGTAGTTTGTTTGGGTTTTCCAAAGTAGAACATCACCATTCTCCATAGGCAAATCATGCAATTCCACTATAAATAAGACATCTGTTCCATAGCAAGCTACAACAAATTACCGGAGGCTACAACTAAAATCACCATGAAATCTCACGACCAGATCAGGCTCACTGAGCTGGATGACAAGTCTTCACATCAGGATGTCTCTACTCAGTCTGTGGGAAGACACAGATGTTGGTGAATTCAGCAAAGTTTTCCAAAGCCAAATTCGAATCATTTTGATTTTGAAGGCAATTTGACTATCATTATCATACCACATAAAGCCACGTGTTTGTTCAACATTAACCATATCTCTCAAGCAAAAAAAGTGGTGATTTTCGCCCAAGTGCAAACCATCGATGGTGCCTTGGCTGCCTCAGAGTCTGCAGATACCTTACACATGGCAATCACATTCAACTTGCCATAGCTTCGGGGTACATATCATGAAAAAGGATATACTCGATATACCAAAAACATGTCAAATACCTTGTTGTCTTGTTGTCTTTCTCAAATCCCAATCTTATACTTATTTCATGTGGCAAGTTCACGAATCTACCGCTCGTAATGCCATCCCAGCAACATCCAGGTCAATCGAATGCTCGTCTCAATCAATACCAGGGCGATCAGGGGAAAGTTCCTCGCTTAATCATCTTAATCCAAGAATGTCAGTGATTTTCATGGGGAAAATCACCCAAATTATCCATTGCCATGTTTGGTTACCAAATCTATGGAATTTCAGGATCCTAAAATGGGGGTACTGTACCATATAAGACCATATTTTGTGGGGATATTCCCTTACATAGGCTTTTTTTTGCCTTATATATGGTAGGTACCTCCAATTTAGGATCCTGAAATTCCCATTGACCAAAGGGTATCAGTGATTTTCAGGGGGTAAATGTCTGTAGGCAGAGATCCTGATTTGGAATATGTTCCAAGCAACAACCGGGCCTGGCGAAAAAAACCTTACCCTCTGGTAAACATACAAAAAGCTATTGAACATGGCCCAGTCGAAATAGTTGATTTCCCATTAAAAATGATGATTTTCCATAGTTATGTTAGTTTACCAAAGGGTAACATAGGGGATACCCTCTGGTAAACATACAAAAAGCTATTGAACATGGCCCAGTCGAAATAGTTGATTTCCCATTAAAAATGATGATTTTCCATAGTTATGTTAGTTTACCAGAGCGTAACATAGGGGATACCCTCTGGTAAACATACATAGATAGCTATTGAACATGGCCCAGTCGAAATAGTGGATTTTCCCAGCTATAAAATGGTGGATCTTTCCAGAGGGTACCAATTTTTTAGTGGCAATTAAAGTGACCTGTAAACATGATCAACCATGATCTTTGGGCGAATTTAAGGCAAACCCAACGCTCTACCACCCATCCAAGGCTGATTGGGGTTGTCTGAAAATAGCGAACCCCATCTGATGGTGTCCCATCATGTTCATATAAATGTCCCGATCAGATCGCAATCAGATCCCCAACTTTCTTGTGTCTCACCCTTTGATCCAAGAACCCAGGTCCTACATTACCCTACCCTATTCTTGATGGGTCTGCGAACAACTTTTTAGCTGGTTGGACCCCAATTCTGCTGATGAAGTATGCATGCTACTTTTGGTTGCATCCCAACTTTTTGCTTATCCGTGAGACATGTTCGCTGCAACCAACATCCCACGTTTGTTGGCGAACATCTGGCAAACACACCCGTCAATACACGTCACATGTCTCATTCACAGATCAGAAGTGCACTTGCCTGTCTTCTGTCTTGTTTTTTTTTAAATAGGTTTCAGGGAAAATCTTAACCATATTGCTTACTGGTGCTAAACGCAGGGAATTTTCGGGAATGATCCATTTCATCACTAGTAATAATCATCCCAGCAACCCCCAGCAACCCATCCATTCCCTACGTAGAACGCACCAGCAAGAAGAACTCTGGATTTGATAAATTGGGATCTACCCTCTGGTAAACATACAAAAAGCGAACTGGAAAATCACCATTGAAATGACGTGAGTTTTCCCATTAAAACATCCATTTATAAGGGAGTTACCCTCTGGTAATTTAACAGTTGGCTATTGAAAATGGCCATTGAAAAAGTGGATTTTCCCATTAAAAATGGTGATTTTCCAGTTCGCTATGTAAACGTTTACCAGAGGGTAACCAGATTTAAACCTATGTTAACCATCATTTCTCATCACCGGGAACCACGTCTCGTCCTCACCAACTCGAAGAGCCTGCGAAACAACGGGTGAAACGAAGCTCTTCGCGAAGCTCTTCGCGTCTTCTCAACATGTTTCACCAGTTCTAAATATCATGTGATATATTTATATATATAATATTAAATGTATATTATATGTATATATTATAATATTATATATATTATAATATTTATAATAATATACATGTATATAGAATATAATACATATATCATATATGTAGAATATGTGTATATTATTGCATATTAAGTATATACACACATGTATGTATGTATTACTAACATATGCATTTTTATATATAATCTCCACATGTATATATATATATATATACACATGTAATACCCCTTGGAATTCCACTGGTACCTCGGAGGGTCTGATTTTTAAGTCCTACAATGCGAACTTGCCAAGGGTATTTTGAGATTGGGCCTCGTTGAGAATCAGAACCCCCGTTGGCAAAATATGAACCCGCGTTGACTTTCAAATCAGGGGGCTTGGGGTACTGTCGGGCACGCTCAAAAAACTGGGGAGGTTCTGAGTTTATACAGGCCTTGCTTCTGAGATGCTTGGGCGCTTTGATTTTACAGTGCATGTCTGTTTTTTTTTAGTGCTTTCTTACTTCTGTGTATGCTGCATGTTTAAAACTATGACATCAGTCATCCCTGGGGTAAGGCAATCTTTTAGAATTTGAAATTCCTTGTGTAGAAAGTTGAAACTCTAGTTAAGTACTTCTGTCATCTTCTGTCCATATGCATTCTCTAGAATACGTTTTCAACAAAGAATCGGGCCTTGTAACGTCGAAACCTCTATAAAATCAAATCCGAGCCTTGCTTCCAACAATGGTCCTCTGTTCCCCAGGCCCACCCTAGAGCTTCCAGGGGTTGGATTGATCATCATTGATCTTATGAATCCTTGTCCGTTTGACTTCCAAACACTTGAGGTCAAACGCAAACTCCTTGGAGCTCTTTGGAAGTCTAGGGACAAAATTGTATGTCCAGAGATAGGAGATATGACAGGATCATATATAGTATTTGATCATTACTGTACATGAAACTGAAATGTAGCGGAGAAATGAGGGATACCCCATTGAGGGCCGTGCTTATCATCAAAATAATGATAGACCAAAGGGTTTGGTAGTTTGTCCAAACTATGACAAACCCCGCCAATAGATAAAATGCTTGGATACCTGAACATGATGATGCAAAGTTCATCTACAATGTCATGGATGTGTTTTTCCTATTTCGGGACTAATCCAAAAGACTATGCTAATTCATACTGATAGATTTATTCTATGACTACACATTTATTAAAAATATACTCCATTTTGACCCCAACACATATCCCAAATGTTATTAATCGGTATCATCACAGCACAAAAGTGAGTGACTTGGCGGAACATCCAAATCTTTGGGATCGGATCTCTGGCTCCCCATCCAACAAAAATGATGGTTTGTGAAAGTCAGTTGGGATCATGACACTCCCAACTGTTTCTGGAAAGTCATAAAATCCATGTTCCAGTCACCACCAACCAGTATTATATCATCTATAAACCATAGTTATAATCAACTGAATGGAAAGTCATAATCCATTCATGTTCCAAACCACCAACCAGTTATCCAACCATAGCCCATAAAAATGCTCTGTCCACTCGAGCCATTTTTCATCATTTCTGTCCAGTGTTGCTGGGATGAACTTTCTTCAGAATGCCCCCCCCGAAAATTGGGTCTGACTGAAAATGGGCTTCTTTTCCACCCATTGGAACCAATGGGAAATTGATGACTAACTGCATTCCCGGTATTCTGTGGCAAGATGACTCACAAATGTGACTAGCGAGTTCCAGCTGTCCCCACCTTTCCGCTTAATAAATCTGAAAGAAAAACCGTTTGCTGTAGCTGAACAAAATCCATTGTTGATGCAGAAATCAAGAGTTTGCGGCAGAATTTGTCATTTTTGTTGCTAGAATCTTGATTGCTGTTGCCAAAATCTACGTGGTTGATTAAACCAATGTTTCAATCCCTGTTGCTGTTTCGAAAACTGTCAATCGTGCTGCTGAAATGTGCTTCTGCAATTTCAAAAAAACAACCGAAATTTTACTATCCCAACCAATCTGTAGATATACAGATACATAGTAAATAGATTTGTCATGTGCAAAGATATTATAATTAGTAACATGTACCATCCCAATCTGTGTTTAATCTCTGTGCATATATTAATACATTGATGCAATTCACCATTAACAGCTGAAATCACCACTTTTCACGACCAAAACTTGGATACGAACTGCTCCTACCAATGGTTAAACCCCATTAGGCCAATGATATGGTTGTAACAGCAATATTAATCCATGGAATTTGCCACTACTATATAGTATATCATTGGAATTACAATTTTTGATAATTCCATCTGGTCAAACATTTCTATTACTATCATCTATTGCCAGCAATGATAATCACTACCATCTATCAGTATCATCTATGATACTCCATGATAATCCATGTTCCATACATTATTAATGGATTCTAAATGCATGTTCCATAGATTAATGTCAATCATCCATTTTCTACATCATTGACCCTGCTCAATTTCCTTCGGATAAAACAAACCTTGCCCCGATCGGACCCGAACTTGGGACCCGTCCTGCAAATGCGGCCCACACGCAAGATGCGCAGCAAACGCACTGCACGGGTGGTCCTGCGAACTGCAGATCGACAACGTGCATTCTGGTTGGTGGTGCAATAACCATCTTGAAAAAATATTAGTCAATGGGAAGGATTATCCCATATAATATGGAAAATAAAACATGTTTGAAAGCACCAACCAGGTTCTATTTTGGAGATACTTCCAGTCACTTAGTTTTACGAATTGGAAAGGTGCCAAAACAAGGGATTAATCTGACAACAGGTGGTGATTATTAGTAGAACATCAGTCTGCTGAGTCTGCTATTGAATTGGTACCTTTTGAACACTGCACTCCCAAGTAAACCGCGCAGGAGTTTTACTCTGGGTTGACATCATGTTTGAACTAAGATGCTCCAGCGCTGGCTGGCGAATGGGAATGGAGAACGAAATACAGCAATGACAAACCCCACATGCTCCATGGAATCTTTAACTATATTTGTTCACCAACAGTTGCCCCAATGGCCCAGTCAACATATTATACTTTTAGCTTCTCCAGTAACATTATTGTCGTAAACGTACATATTCACATGCACTCCCCAAAGATTAAGGGTGTTTCCCACAAGTTGGTGCCTCCTGGTTAAGCAATGGGTTTATTTATAACCTCATCAAGTATATAAATATGTTTATATTTCCCATAACCCGAGTTATACGAGTAGTCCCTTCCTCCAAATATGAAACATCCCCCAGGAACCAGGGCTTAGTTTTCGCTCCTCATGATGCCCAGGCTGTGAAAATGTCCCAACAAAAATTCATCCACGAAGGCAATCGACGCAATCTCAGAGTGGAGAGCTGATGGAGATCATCAAATCCAATCTTGATGAACTTAAGCAGGATTGAAGCCACACCGGCTTCCGCTATTAAGTATATATATATTATATATATATATGTATATTATATATATAAGGAGATTGAGCAACAAAAACAATTTGGATCCAATCCCTCTTAACAATCGGGCGCTAGTCACTGAGGATTCACAACTGCTACCGATTTGCGCTGGAGGGATTTGGGCCAATCCCCTTACAGCAAAAGAAAGGCCCCAGAGATGGAACGACACATTCTATGGAAAGCAAATATGGTAAACATGCGGTAAACCCAATATACAAACACTACCATTTGGGGATGGTTGTAAAAACATCACCCCGGTAATATCCGGAGTGGGTATTGGTGGGTTGACCACATGCTTGACATTGTTTTCATGTGTTTCCACTACCATTTCTGATTACCAATGATATGTATTCACTTAGTCACAACTAGTACCAGCAACCTGCGGAGATCAAATTTGGAATCCAGCAGCTCCATATTTCAATAGTCACATCTAGTCACCTTTCACCGGCCTGAAGCTATCTGTTAAATACTGAAATTAGAATAGATGTTGAGCTGACTGACATGCCCCGACCACAACTGTCTTCATGATTCATGACTCTTGTGGTTCCCTAAAAAACACTACTGTGACTATTTGATTGCTATATGTCAAATCAACTGTCACATATTCCTACATGTATTTCTATATAATATATATATATACATCATTATATTATTATATAATGACTGTTGTTACTACATAGTACTGTACTAATCCCTGTTATTACATAATCCCTTCTCCCGGCTCATGATGTCCGAGCGACGAAGACGTCCAGCACCAACCAACCATCATAGATCCTCCTGAGCCGCTTACGGGTAACATTTGGGAATATCTGGATGGAACACATCAAAATGGTTTCTCTGTTGTGGGGCAAATGATGCAAATCCTTATTTTTGTCGGTAAAATATAGTTACATCGTGAAAAATGCACAGTTTTGGCGGGTAAAATGCCAGTTTTGCAGGTTCAGGGCGCCCTTTTTGTTGGTGGCGGCAAATTGATTCTGATAGTCCCCAAGATACAAAGGGTACTTATCCTCTGGTAAACTATAACATAGCTATTGAAATAAAATTGCCTGTTTATAGTGGATTTACCCATTGAAAATGGTGATTTTCCATAGTTATGTAAACGTTTACCAGGCCGGGTAAACCCAAAAAATAATATATTATCATCAATCATCAATCAAACATCATTTATCAACCATATGCCCACATTGCTGATGGTTAAAACCCCCCAAACATACACGGCTCGCTCGGTGACATCTTCATTTCTCGCATCGCCAGGGGACGGTGTCATGGGACAACCGATGAAACCTGGGAAACCGCCGAGCCGGTGCGAATCCTTCTGGAAATATGGGGCATTTATTTAATATAGATAGATACAAATATGTATATATATATATATATGTCTGTGTGTACCATATATTTATATTATATTTATATATATATATATATTTTATAATATATATATAATGTGTCTATGTAATATATATATATACGGAAATTATATGAAATATGAATGAAAAATGAATACTTTTTGTAACTGAGGTATTTGCACTTCGACATGGACATGGCAGTAGTTTGAGGCTATCGGCTGACTCGCCGCCCCAGAAGGGTTGTCATTTTTTGCGATTGTATACTTCGATGTTGTGCGCTGTATGCTGGTACGGTGGGGTGGGGTGGGGCTGGGTGGGGTGGGGTGGGGCTTACAACACCTAATAACGGTTATAACGTTCGTTGGCGCTTGCAAACCAACATGATGCTACGTTACAGACAGGGTGGGGTGGGGTGGGGCTATTAACGTTCCTTGGCACTTCCGGGAATATAAATATGTTGCGACGCTTGCGCATGTTGTTAACATACGCGAACGTAGGTTTGATGTTACGTAACGTTACGTAGGTTTGTTGTGAACAACCGCTTTGTGGTCGCAGGCACTCAGCAACTGGACTCCACATGGAAAAAAATTTATCGCTTTTGCCCCAAAAAGACAAATCCCATGGGGGGAACCAACGAAAATCGTTGGAAATGAGCGCGAAGCTTCCAGTGGAGGCATAATGCTTCCATCACTAGCCAACTCAATCTTGGAAGAACTTCCCGCATGCTTGTGGCACAGTTGAAAAAAATGTTTCCAAACCGTAAGGACATGGACTTGTTTGATCAATAACAATTTGCATTTTTTCCCAGGTGATCAAAAAACGATCGTTTCGCCTACACAAAATACAATTTTCTCAATTTTGAATTGGCCCACGCGGTACAAAATGATACTTTCAAAAATGCCTTCCGAACATGCATATTTAAAGAAACACTGGGTTTTAAGCATTTCACCTTGAGAATGAGGAAAAAAACGGTGTCGACAGTTCCAGGGCGGCGAGTCAGCCGATTCCCCAGTTTTACGCTTCATCCAAGTCTGATGTGGCTCACTTAACCAAGGATTTAAATTCAGAGACAGACATATTTCCATTTCAATGAAACATCATGAAACAACCACGTTCAAATGGTATTTGAATCCCATATTCAACCCCATTACACCCCATTGAACCCCATTCAATCATTGAACCCAATTAAAACCCCATAGCAATTCCATGTTTTTTTGCCATAGGATGCAGATGCATCTCTTTCTCCAAGAGACTGATGATGACCTCCACGATGTAGAGGGAAATGAGCACCATCATCAACGACTGGCGGTGGCTCAACCCCCCAAAAAAATGGCAATAAACACCCAGAAACCATGGCTTAGTAGGGATGGAATTTACACCTGTTATTTGGGCGTTTATAATTTCAGGATATTTTAGGATGGGATTACCGTGGGTTCAATGTCGGCAAACATGGATCTCTGAGATATTAGTTTCAAATAATGATGGTATATAAAGATGGCAGGCTTTAGGGATGTTGCATCCATGAAGCACGTAAGATGTTCCACATGCCTGAGGGGTCGATCTTGCAACGCAAAAATCATCAGGATAGCATGCCCTATCTGCAAAAATTCTATCCAACGAATAGCTTTGATGGTATGGAAACAAAAACGGAAAATATTTTGTATATGTATACAAATACATACACATAAATATAATTATATATATATATATACGCATTGCAAAGGTATGTATATAAAAAATATGTATATATAACCTATGCGTATGTAACTATTGTGAAATACATATATATATACATATATATATATATATGTATTTATATGCATATGTATATATATATATATATGTATATGTAAATATATATATATGTATATTTATGTATATATATGTATATATATACATAAATATATATGTGTATATGTATATATATGTATATATATGTATGTATGTATATATATATGTATATATATGTATATATATATATGTATATGTATATATATATATGTATATATATGTATATATGTATATATATGTATATATGTTTATATGTATATATATATATATATGTATTTATATATGTATTTATATATGTATTTATATGTCTATAAGTGTATATATATGTATATATATATGTATATATGTAAATATATATAAGTAAATATATGTAAATATATATATATAAGTATATATATGTCTATATATATATGTATACATATATATATATATATGTATAAATGTATATATATATATGTAAATATATATATGTATATATACATATATATGTATATATATATATATATATACATATATATATACATATATAAATACATATATATATACACACAACACCTAGATGCACATCGTTAGTTGAACCAGCTACAGTAACTCACCATTCATATACATTCACTACCCTTAATAGCACATCCTTTGGCAAGTCCCCTAATGTGTCACTATGCAAGGAATCAACATATTTGTTACAGTAATGGATGAATATATAAAAATGGGTTCCCGAAACAGTGTGTCCACACTGAGGGGTTCTTCGGTAGGAGTAAAGGCTGGTGCTTGATCAGGATGCTCCAGCTGGGCGCCGGCATTTTTCCTGTAATTTTCCGTATGCAGTGGCTCTTGTGAAATGTTGAAGTGCATTTCGACTGCGCAGGCTCGCACAAAGTCTGCGCCACGGTTTTGGGGCGCGGCATTTTTCCTCTAAATTTCTGTACGCAGAGGCTCTTGTGAAATGTTGGAGTGCATTTCGTCTGCCAGGCTCTTGTGAAATGTTGGAGTGCATTTTGTCTGCGCAGGCTTGCACAAAGTGTGTGTCCGCTTTCTGGGCTCATTCTGCGGCGCGGCATTTTTCCTGTAAATCTCTATAAAAAATGGCTCTTGTGAAATGTTGAAGTGCATTTCGACTGCACAGGCTCGCACAAAGTGTGTGTCCGCGTTCTGGGCTCAATCTGGGGCGCGGCATTTTTCCTGTAATTTTCTGTATGCAGAGGCTCTTGTGAAATGTTGGAGTGCATTTCGTCTGCCAGGCTCTTGTGAAATGTTGGAGTGCATTTTGTCTGCGCAGGCTTGCACAAAGTGTGTGTCCGCTTTCTGGGCTCATTCTGCGGCGCGGCATTTTTCCTGTAAATCTCTATAAAAAATGGCTCTTGTGAAATGTTGAAGTGCATTTCGACTGCACAGGCTCGCACAAAGTGTGTGTCCGCGTTCTGGGCTCAATCTGGGGCGCGGCATTTTTCCTGTAATTTTCTGTATGCAGAGGCTCTTGTGAAATGTTGAAGTGCATTTCGACTGCGCAGGCTCGCACAAAGTGTGTGCCCGCGTTCTGGGCTCAATCTGGGCCGCGGCCTTTTTCCTGTAAATTTCTGTATAAAGTGGCGCTTTCTTGCGCAACGTTGACATGCATTTCGATTGCGCAGGCTCGCACAAAGTGTGGTCCTATAGGTCTTGGGATCGGTCCTCCTCCTCAACATCATCATCCCCCACATCATCATCTTCCTCCTCCTCAACATCATCATTCTCAACATATTCATCTTTCTCCCCCTTCACATCGTCATCCTCAGCTTCATCATCCTCCAAATCATCCGCATCATCATCATCATCATCATCATCATCATCATCACCATGATCATCATCATCATCATCATCATGATCATCATCATCATCATCATCATTACCATACATTATCATACATTATCAAACATTATCATACATTATCATACATTACCATACAATATCATACATTATCATACAATATCATACATTATCATACATCATCATACATTATCATACATTACCATACATTACCATACATTATCATACATTATCATACAATATCATACAATATCATACATTATCATGCAATATCAAACATTATCATACATCATCATACATTATCATACATTACCATACATTATCATACATTATCATACAATATCATACATTATCATACATTATCCTCCCACCCCCCACACTGTTTGGGGTCTCTTGCCGGGATAATGGTTGGAAAAAAAAAAGCTGTTGAACATGCTGTTGCGGACCTCCAACTGTCGGTAGGATCGGATCTTTTGCTGATCCTGGCGGGCCCAGTTACCCAGTTGAGGAGTGTAGCTGATCCAGCTATACCAATGGTGCTGGGAAACCTAGACACAAATGGTACATTCACCTAGACCTGCGTCAAAAGGTATTGTTTTCTCTTCATGCCAACATGATTTAAGCGTCATGAAAAATCATCCATTCTTGGTACAAGATGATCTTTGTAATATAAATATATATATATATATACTGTATATATCTGTATATACCTAGTGGTCATGTATATACCCTGAGCATCGCATATTGATTAGAATCAATAAATCCTTCATGCAAATTATTGATTTGAAAAAAAAACGAAAATCAAAACAGAAATCTTATCAAATCAGCTGCTTTTTTATTGATTTTTTTTATTGATTTGCTTATTGATTTGCTTTTTGATTATTTTATTGATTTTGATTTTGTTTTCCACAGCTTCTTTTTGATGCATGTTTGGCTGCTCTAGCTCACCATTTGCTGGGCCATGTTTGCATGCATGTGCAGCCTTTGGCTCATAAGTTTTGGAAATAGCCAGCTCCAGATGGCAGGAGACGAATGCTTTGGAAAAGGATCTAGCTTTGGAAAAGGCAGAGGAGGCCCCAGGCACTTTTCGAAACCCTATATAGATTCTGGCCTCATCTACAAGGTGTTTAGCACCAACTTGGAAATCATCAAAGACCTTGGAGCATATGAACACCAGTCCAAGACAAACAGCCCATGCCCAAAAGGGCTTCTTCACACCCTGCCCTTGTGGACTGGCCTCCTGAAGTTGGAAAACTCCGGAGAAATACATTGTGCCCCTATGAGGACTGCCTTGATTTCTCTTCTTGCTGATCACCCAGAAATGAATGATTCAAAGTCAAGTGGCTCAGTCTGGAGCAATTTGAAGGTGGAGCGAATCACATGCATGTTGAATCATGTGAGGAAGATGGGCAGAGAAAACCTAAATGTTGCAGCTGCCAAACTGACAAGGGAAGAGTTCACTCACCTCCACAAGGGTTTGAAGCTGTTGGACCTGTCCTGTGCTTTGGAAAGGGCAAAGGCTGTGGAAAACCAAAAGAAAGCTTTGGAAAAGGCAAAACCTTTGGAAGAAGACAAGAAAGCTTTGGAAAAGGCAAACAGCAAGGCTTCAAGTTCCACTGCCTTGGTGCCATATGAGCCAAGCAGAAAATTAAAGAAGGAAGACAGTGGTGTCAGCATGGATGCCAATGGTTTCCCAGTCATGTTCCAAAGCAGTGAGGAGGGCTCTCCACAGAAGGAGCAGACAGTCAAGGCTGCTGCTGCCCCAGCAACTTCAATTGCAAGGAGAAGGCCAGGGCAACTCATAGCTTTGGAAAAGGATGAGTTGCAAGCTGCTTTGGGTTTGGGAAAGCCCTCTCTTAAAAGACCAGCAGCTGCTTTGGGAAAGGCCACTGGGGAAACAAAGCCAAAGAAGAAGAAGAAAAGTGGTAAAAAGAAAACATCATTTAAAAAGAGCAAGGCCTCTTTGGAAAAGGAGGAGAGGAAACCTTGGGTGAGGATCACAAGGACAGTACCCAAGAAGGGCAACCAAAGGGCATACTTGTTGGGAACCACTGAGGAACATGGCAAGCTGCACTTGATTGTAGAAGTGTCCAAGGCCAGGTGCCCCAATGGATATGTTGCAATCATTGATGAGTTGAAGAAATCTTTGGAAAAGGATTCTTTGACAAAGGCAGAAGCCTTGCAAATGAGAGAGAAACTTTGCCAGGATTGGGGTGCCAACTGGTAGCTGAAGACTGCTGGGGTTTGGCAACATTTGAAAAAGTATAAAAAAGTTGCAGCAAAAAAAAGGGGGAAAGTTGCAGCAGCATTTGCGAAAAAAAAAGTGCCTTTGGGAAAGGGCTTCTTACTTGTAGCCAGTTTGGCTGAGAGCTTGGCAGGCCACCTCTAATAGGGAGGGGGCCAGAACCTGCCAGAGACTTGAAACAATTTTGGTGAAAAAATGAATTAAATAAAATTGCAAATAACACAAACTGATTTAAAGAATCCCCATTATCTTTTCAGGTCATCAGGTTTATCTTGACATAGCAAAGTTTAAATATTATAAATTATGTGAAATACAGATATATTATCAATCACATAATATAAGGTCGTGAGTTAATGAAATATTATAAAGAAACATATTATGTTCATTTTTGAAAAATGAAAAATAATAAAGTTATAAATAGTATGAATTTTGAAAACATGTATTATAAATATTATAAATAAAAATGTTATAAAAATATGTAACAAAACCAATAAACATATAATGGAATTTAAAATGTAATAGTAAACATATTATAAATAAAATTTGAATGAAATACAGGTACATTTTTTTTATCTTAATAAACAAATACAAATATATATATAATTGTTTTCACATTCCATATACTTTAATTTTTGCAAAAACACTGCCTTTGGAAAAGGGCTTTTTCCAAACCCAGCACTGTTCTGTTCAACTAGTGTTGTGTTTGCTTCCTGTTTGTTTGTTTGGTTGTGGTTGTTGCAGCATGGTGCTGTGGCTCTCATGGTGTGTGCATGTTTCTCCCTGCAGCCATTTGGTTACAAACCCACACATACATTCACACTGACAGCAAACACCAACACAACAATTCAAATTCACAGCAGTAGGTGACACACTCACACTGACCGGTGCAAGCATGTCGCAGCCACAGCCACAAGAACATTTCAAACAACACTCCCAGTAGCTTAGGGTTGTGTTGGGCAAGTTTGGAAAAGCTTGCCTGGACCTACTTTGGAAAAGGTAGGCACTTGGTTTGGGAAAGCCAAGTGGAGCCATGGCCAAGCCCAACAAATGGGGCTGGTATGGGTACAACTGCAAGGGGTGGGAGTCAGGCAGTGGCACCACCCACCAGAACAGGAGGGATCAGAGAAGACACCTCCAGTGGGACTCTTTGGAAAAGGAGGACCCAAACAGTGAGGAGTGTTTGGAAAAGCACTTGGAGCTTCTGACAAAAGCCCAAGAGAAGGCTCAGAAGAAGCTCAAGGAGGCAAGGGAGAAATCATCTTTGGAAAAGGATGATGATGATGATGATGAGGACTCTTCCCTGTCCATATTTGACCACAAAAAGGGAAAGAAAAGAAGGTCAAACCCCAAGGCTGCAGCTTCAACTTTGGAAAAGGTTGAAGAAGCTGAGGGCACATTCAGGAGGTCCAGGACAGCCAAAAATGGCACTGCTGAGAAGCTGCATGAGAAGCCTTTGGAAAAGGGCAGCAAGACAAAGTCTTTGGAAAAGGACAGCCAGCAGGAAGTGAAGGTGGAGCAGAGCAGCAGCAGCAGCAGCAAAGTGCAGGATGGAGTTCCTGCCAAGTCTTTGAAAAAGGACAAGTCTTTGGAAAAGGACAAGTCTTTGGAAAAGGACAAGTCTTTGGAAAAGGACAAGTCTTTGGAAAAGGACAGACCTGTGGTGGAGCTGAAGCCTGTGGTGGAGCTGAAGCCTGCCCCCAAGTCCAAAAGGCCAGTGGTGGTTGTTGACTACCACAACACATTGGAAGTCAACAACATCATTCCAAAGAGCCACATCAGGAGTTTGGAAAAGCTCCTTGGTGCTGCAGAGGTACATATTCTCTCTTATGTCCAGACAAAGAAAAGAGAGAACAATGTCAAGGCAGAGCTCAAAGAACTCCAGTGTTATGGCCAACTCGCAGGAGTTCACTTTTGCCATCAGAAGACTGGCCCAGATGGAAAGATGGACTGGTGCTCCTGGCTGGGTGCAACAGCCATAATGGATGACAATGCAGACATCTGCTTGGAATGCTGTTATGGTTCCAGCATGCTGGTCATGGCCATTGCCACCAAATGGGAGAGGCACACAAAGTTGCCTAACAGCAATATATGGCCTAGCTTCCCAGATGCTGTTGAAGGCTTTTTGGAGATTTAGAACTCCAAGTGGTTTGGAAAAGCCACAGTGCTGCTCCCATGGCTTTGGAATTGCACCAGCTTTTAGAAAAAAGTCTTTGGGAAAGGACTCAGAAAATAAACCTGCTCAGTCTTTGGAAAAGGACACCCACTGAATGGCTCTTTGGAAAAGGGGCCATTCATTCTGCACAATATCTTTGAAAAAGGATACTTTTCACTTGCCCAGTTGCCAGACCTGGCAACTTGTACAGCCTGTTCTGCAGTGGCCAGCCAAATACTGGTAGGCCAAACTACCAATTATGAATGATATTAAAAAAATAAATAAAAATTATCTGAAATTTGAAATAATAATTAGTTATTTATACATACGTTTTGCATTTACATTTGCAAATGTAAAGAATATAGTGCATAAATAATTGAAAAGTAGATTGTGCTATTCTTATTCCAACGTTTGGTATGGAAACAAAGAAATATACAAATATATTTTTAATATATATATATAGTTTGCTGCAGATATATCTACAGGATTTTTTTGCAATGTTTTCCATGTGAAACACTAATCAATTTTTACTTGCATGATTTATGCTGCATGGTTTTGGTTTGAGTCATGTGGGAATGGTAATTGTTGGGCTTTGGGAAAGGCCTAATTCAGTTTTATGTTTTGGGTACTCAACCAATACCACTGTATGATCAGAATTTTCCAAATCCAATCACAAAAAAACACATCTTATCAAATCTTATCAAATCTTATCAAATATGTGGTTTTGATAAGATTTGATAAGATTTGATAAGATTTCATTTTTGGAGATTCATGTGTTTTTTTTTGTAAACCAGTTGGTTTCCACATGATTTTTTCCTTCAAGCTTTTGGCTCAACAGCTAATTTTCGAAGTCTACCCCAACATGGCACCAAAAAAATGATGAAATCAATGAAGGCTGGTTTGGGAAAGCCAGCCAAAGTGAAGAAGCAAGCCAAGAAACCTGCAAAGGCAAAGTCAGCAGCCAGTGCATCTTTGGGAAAGGATAAAAAAAAATACCCAAAGAATCAGCTGAACAAGGCCAATCTGGAAAAGTTGGGCAAAATGAGTCTTGCAGATAAAGTGAAGCAAGCAGCTGAGGAGGGGGATACAACAGAAGAGCAAGCAGTGGTCCTCAAGGGTCTATTGAAAAAAGATGAACACTCAAAGGTCTGGGGCAGGTACTCAACACACCTAGACAAAAACCCAGAAGAGAAAAAAGAAGTTGAGCAGCTGAGCAAGAAGGACAAAGGGCTCAAGGCTGCACAATGGCTAGTGCAAATAGAAGGGAAAAATATTTGCATACCAAAAAAGTTGTCAGTGCCAACCAAACTGTCAACAAGCTGGATGCTTGGGAAAGCTACAAGGCCATGGAAACCCGGTTTGGAGAAGATGAGTTGGAAGCCCACCTCTGGAGTGGCAGAGTCATTTCCAGACAGGACCCTACCACTCCAGGGGTGTGGCAGTACAAGGATACTCAAAATTTTTCTTCCAGTTTTGCAGTCAACAGAGGCCACCACTGGGAGCAAGGGACAGAGACTGAGCCTGGCACTGAGGATTTGGAAAAGTTCTCACACCTGCATGGAAGCAGTTGGAAAACACTCCAGGCAGCAGACCTGGAAGATTGCTCAAAGGGAAAAAGCTTTGGAAAAGGCAAGGGAAAATACTTTGGAAAAAGCAAAGGGAAAGGAAGTGGCAGAACTGAACAGCTGGCCCTTGAAGACAAAAGGGATGAAAAGACTGAAGAAGATGAGTCCAAAGATGCTTTGAAAAAGGCAAGAAAGGCAAGAGACTCTGTGGCCAGTGCCTTGAATGATTTGGAGGAGGCTTTGGGAAAGGCTTCTGCCAAGTTGTCAAGGCAAGGGAAGGCAGCAGCAGAAGGCTGGGGCCTGCAGTTGAACAAGCAGCTGGCAGAGTTGAAGGCTATCTTGTCTGGAAAAAAGTGAAGCAAACCAATGAATTGAAGAAGGTTCTGGAGGAGGTTGCCAAAGTGGCCAAAGGTGCCAAAGAGGAAACAAAGGAACTCAAGGCTTTGGGTAGCAAAGCTGGCTCTGTTGCTTCCAGCAAAAGGTCAAAGGGGAGCAAGTGAATGCTGGAAGCCAAGTTGCATTTGGAAAAGTGCAAAGCACACCATTTGGAAAAGTGGTGGGGTGCACAAAAAACTATGGGCAAGTGGTTGCTGGCATTTGGGAAAGTGCATGTGGTAAGCCCTTTGCAAGAGCCATCTCTTTGGAAAAGGAGACCACTTAGCTTTAGTACCAGCAGCCCTAAAATGGGGATTGCAGGGAAAAGCAACCAGTTTTGACTTCTTGGTGCCTGGAGAAAAGGGTTGGGTAACTAGGGGTAGCAGCAGCTGTGGGTACTACTTGGTGGTTGTTGGTTTGGTTGGGTTGTTGGGTTCAACAACAAAGATGTTATTTGCTTAGTTCAACAAAGCCACAATATTAAAAAGAACATAGTAGCTGACCATACTGGGGGGCATTGGGTTCAACAAAGCCATTATGGCAATGATACAATAATATGATAACTAATCTATTGTTAAAGGTAAAGTTGCATGGGTTAGTTGCAGGCATTAGGTTGCACAATGTGTTTCCTTTTCCAAAGAAACATGTTTCTGCAGCTGTTTACAGCTTGAAGAAATTTTGATAATTGAAACCTTGCTGGTTTTGGAAAAGGCCACCTGGGCTTTGGAAAAGGCAAGCTGGATTTTTTTTTGGAAGGCAGCCAGTGCTTTGGAAAAGGCCAGTGGCAAGCTAGACCATGGCAAAAAGATTAAGAGGTTGGCAATTAGAACAAGAATCTGGCAGAAGGGCAAAAGTAAAGCCTGGCAAAGCTTTGGAAAAGGCAGAAGGGCCAGTGGCTGAATCTGCCCTAGCAAACAAATTGTTGCATCTCTGGGCCAAAAGAACCTTGAGTGCCACTTTGCTGAGGGAACTGGCTGATTGTGCCATCCAAGATGGTGCTTCCCACGATGATTTGGTAGCCTTGGCCCAGACTGGGAACTGGGGTGCCCAGCCAGGGAACTGCCACAAACAAATCTTAAACCATTTCTGTGCAAATGTCAAAATTTGTGAAGGCTATGAAGTGGAAGTCCCTTGCAAGGACGCAAAAACATCCAAGCCTGCTTTGGAAAAGGCAACCATTTTCCTACCCCACCTTATGTTTTTCAAGCTGGCTGAAAACTACCCAGACATTTTCTTTGATTTGTTTAGCTTTGGAAAAGGCAACCTGGCTGACTTCTGGAAAGGAGTGGCAAAGTCAGGTGATGACAAACTTGTGGGCCACCCCATGAAAGAAACAAAGGGTTGGGAAGACATTTGCATCCCAATTTATGTTCATGGTGATGGGGTGGATTTCACCAACAATGACAGCCTCATGGTCTTTTCCTGGGGCAGCTTGCTAAGCAACCACAAGACTTTGCTGCGCCATTGGTTGCTAGCTTGCTTTCCCAAATCATGTGGCACAAAGGAGACTTGGGAAGCCATTTGGAAATGGCTGGCCTGGTCCTTCAAAGCATTGGCATCTGGCCACCATCCCAGGTTGGGGCCAGACAATGAACCTTTGGAAAAGGGTTCAATGCTTGCATCATTGGCAGGCCAGCCATTGCACCCCAAAAAAATGAGAGGGGTTTTGTGGGCCATCATTGGTGACCATGAATTCTTCAGTAACACATTGGGGCTTCCACATTGGAACAGCAGGTTTCCATGCTGGGAATGTGATTGTGAGAACTTCACCCCAGGCACCTTTGGGCAAAGGGTGCAAGACTATTTGTTTGGAAAAGCAAAAGTTCAAAATATGGAGCCATGCAGAATGCCTAGCAGATCCTTTCAGCAACCATGCCCTTTTTTCATTACCTGGGGTGAGTTGCAAACATGTGAGGGGAGACCCCCTTCATGTGTTGTTCTGTAAAGGATTGTATTCTCACCTTATAGGTTCCATACTGCATTACATTTGCTATTATGAAGGGCCTGGTCAGAGACAATCCAAAAAGCCTTGGGAAAGGCTATCGATCCTGTTCACCCAAGTGCAAGCTCAATACACAGAGCAAGGGTGCAAAAACAGGCTAACCAATTTAAGATTAAGCATGTTCACTGATGCACAAAAGCCTTGGAAAAAGCATGCTACCCTGGACATCAAAGCAGGAGAAGCCAAACATTTGTTACCAGCTTTGATCCCAGTTCTAGAGAAAATCTTTTCTGGCACAATGGAGGAATGTGAGCAGCATATGCTTGCAGCTGCCACTAGTTTGGAAAAGCTAGTTGAAATCTGGGACAATGCTGGTTTGTTTTTGACTCCTGCAGAGCACCACCAATCATTGGATTTAGCAGGTGAGTTTCTGAGGAAATATGATTGGCTGAACAAATGGTCTTTGGAAAAGGACAGAATGAGTTTTCATATAGTTCCAAAGCATCACAGCTTTATTCACATGGTTTGGGGCTCCAAACATTTGAACCCCAGGGCCCAATGGTGCTTTAAAGCAGAAGATTTTGTTGGACAGATCAGTCGACTGACATCATCTGTCTCAATGGGTGTGTCTTCCACCAGGCTTTCCCTCAAGGTGGCACCAAAATATCGCATTTTGGTGCACCTATTCCTCACTAGGTCCATGCCAGAAGAAGGGGAAGCACATAGTTTGGAAAAGCTGTGTCTGGTGGGGGGCACACCCCAGCCTTTGGGAAAGGGTTGAGATCTGTGGAAAGCTTCCATGTCTTTTGCAAGAAAATGGCTTTGGCAAAGGCCAATGTGGCTCTGGGAAGGGTTGCCAAAGGCTGCCATGTAGCTTTGGGAAAGGCTACTGCAGTTAGGTTAGTTCTTCAGATCAACATAGCAGCCAGGTAGGCTCAAAGAAGCCACCTGAACTGTGCAAAAGTTAACAAGGAAAAAATGTTTAAACAATAACTATCACCAAAAATCTAACAAAAACATGTCTTTCACTCCATAATTTCTTCTGCATTTGCTTTTGCACTTTTCACATTGTTTCTTGATATTTTTGTTTTTTTTTATTGATTTGTTTATTGATTTTTTTTGCTTTTTTTATTGATTTTGATGCTTCAAAGTGAATGTTTTTTTCATTGATTTTCCCTTCGAAAAAATCAATCCCAGCACATTGATTTTTCAACCTCCATAATCAATCTGATTGATTGTAATCAATAAGCGATGCTCAGGGTAATGTATAGTTATATCATGTTATCATACACCAGCCGGGGCACAAATGGATGGGCTAGCTCCGATCGTTTTTTCTGTTCGGCCCTTCAGGTAACGTTATGGGATAGCTACCCATCAAACCGGGCGTGGCTGCCTGGGAAATCCCCTAAAAATTGAGGTTTGAATATGTTGATAGCTGGGAAAATCTAGGGAACTATTGATGGTTGAAGTTTTACCCTCTGGTCAATTAACAGTTGGATCCGAAAATATCCTAGTTTTAATGGAAACTAATCTTCCAACCCCTATCTGCCAGGGTCTATGCTAATTTACCAGAGGGTAATATGTTTATAGCTTGGAAAATCATCAAACTTGGCTTGCTGGATTTTCCAGCAAGCCACGTTTGATTTTCCACCAGACAGTATAGCATCTGGAACGCCGACCCATACTGAGAGGATCTCTGACTTAGTGAAATGGTTTACAGGTGGCTTTCGACCCACATCAAGCCACATTAACCAAAAAATCAATCCGCATCAAGCCACATCAATCCACATGAAAACCCACATTAGCCCAGTATTTTTCCAAGGGGCCCCTTGGGGGCTCAAGCCCTTCGTTTCTAACCGCGCGGCACCTCAGGAAATCTCAGCATGTCCGCTGCCCTGGCGGCACGGGAAACCGTTGGGAAGAGATTTTCGTTGGGATAAAAACGTCAATATCATGTGTTGAATCTCAGAAATATAGTTTGTTTATGTTAGTATATCTTAGTATATCTTAGTTTATGTTAGTTGATGTTAGTTTATGTTAGTTGATGTTAGTTATTGTTGTGTTTTAGTATACTGTTTTGGGGTACTTCTACTCAATCAAGATATGTTGGAAGACGACCAAAACCATGGGTGCAAAGGATGGATCGGATGGAGCTATGTCTGTGTTGGTTGATTCCTTGCTGTAACTTGTTGTGCGATTTAAACCAACCAATCAGTTTGCCAACCTACATGGCATTTGCAACATAGACACACACACACATTTTATTGTTGGCAAGTGCCATGTAGGTTGGCAAACTGGGAAAATCGTAACTCTGTGAACTTTGAACTAGACACATACACACACACACACACATTTTTGGGTTCTTTCCCTTTTCGAAGCACGTGCAAAAGCATCGTTTGGCTTTGTAATGGCACCTACTCCGTCCCATGTTCTGCGATGGTTTGTCATCATCTGACCTGCTATGATCCACAAAAACAACGGGTTCAGCCCAATGATAATCACCAGACCTCGACGCTCTAGCGGTTGACTGCAGATACTCCAACATTAATAAAACCTGCCAAAAGATCTATCAATGACGGCGCAAGAATGACAACTCAGATTTTTTTGGCGGAATGAAAACAGACTTTGACGATCATGACAGTGCAACTCAAATTATTGGAACCATTGAACCTCTTCGTGGCACTTAGAATCACTAAGCACAACAAAAATGGACTGGTTCGCAGGACAAAAATTAGGACATGTCGTTTTAGCACCAACTGAATCCAAATGATGTAGACGCAGACGGAGCGTTAACTTATTTGCCCTCTGGTAAACGTTTACATAACTATGGAAAATCACCATGTTCTATCCACTATTTCTATGGCCATGTTCAAGGCCGCTTTTTGTATGTTTAACAGGCCGGGTAATTGCCTAACCCGACGGCAATTTGGTGGCGAGGTCGGTCAGTGAGGTCGCTGGCTGGCCATTGACCCAGAGAAAAAATCCGGTAGCAACTGGTAAACATACAAAAAGCTATTGAAAATGGCCATTTATAGTTTACCAGAGGGTAACTTATTTCATTGCCTAACCCGGCACAAGCCAATTTATTGGGTCGGTCAGTGAGGTCGATGACAATTGCCTCATAGCAACCAAGCAAAACGATCGTTTTACGGACACTTACTAGCATTCGATATACAGTCCGACTTGATGAATTTCTATTTTTTTGGGGGGTTGCTGAAGCCATTCAACCAACCAACAGCATGAGACCATTAAACCAACGACAGGGTTGCAACACCCCCGATACGACAGGGTACCAAACTCTTCCTATATGCTCCGGTGGTGGAAAATAATTATATAAAGCATTAAACCAACAACAATTGTTTTTTTTCTATACCTTACCATTGCTGGCTAGTCTTATCAATTACTGTATATAATATCCCATCATTATCTAATGGTTATACCTTACCAAACTTATCAATTGCTGGTTGTACCTTACCATGGCTGGGTAGTTTTATCAAACCAACCTGGATATCTCAAGTATCCCACAACAATGGTTAGTGCGGTACCAAGGGACGCATTGGCCAACACAATCACCTGGGGTAGGTCACGGTAGGTCTCCATGGTGAAACCAGGGTTTTATTTCACCAGGACTTGGCCCAATCCATTCTTAAGGGCTTACCCATGGATGATTGGGACTTGGTATTTGGGGGGGATCAATGGGATGTATAGGTGATATAACTAAATATACCTAACCAATGTAATTATGATATTTGGAGAGAAAAACATATGTGTATATATATATATACATAAAAACCGCAACCATGGAGCTGCCACGTTACAAATATTTTAGTCAGAACACTGATGATAAACACTTATATTTTAGACCATATGTTTTAAAGAAGTGCTGGGCCAATTCAGGTGCAGTCTGGCAGCAACCCTAGGCATGGCCAAGAGATTTTCGTGTTTTATAGATTGCAGCAAAAACATGTTAAACATATCACTTTCAGTTGCAAACATGTGTTCATTCTATTACTTTTCCGTGACATTAGATTCGTTAGATTGATTCATGTCGTGCAACTCGATGGGGTTTGTGTTTTTAAAAAAATGGCACCCAACAATAATATGTTTGTAAACATCATTCGCTCCGTTAACATTGTTAATTTGGGGTAGTACTGTATATCCCATTTTCAGACACATTCATACATCACTTGGATAGTTATATGTATGTGTATACATATATATATATATATCACGACAACATCTTATATTTCCAAATTGATCCCATCCCCCTAATATCGAACACACCCACGCTATGGTCCCAAATATATGGGTTTCATACCTATTAAACCGTGGTTTCTGAGGAGTGTTTAAGGTTAGCCACAAGGAATTATTCGTCATAATATCACATTGATAAATATATCGAATATTGATAGTTATTGTCAATTATTTGCTTAACATATATTACATCCATTTACATCCCCATTAGAGCAACCCCCCTGAAAATAGAAACGTGTGAAACCAGGATGTAGATCACATTTACTACATATTTCATTTCATATTTCATATGTTTCCCACGGTTCATTCTCTATTACTTGGGTTTAAGTTATATATCATTAATATATCATTAATATCATTACTTGGGTTATTTTTTCCCAACAACTATGTATCATTCTGGCTTGTAATGATTCACTCAACTGAACATACCTGTTTTTTTGTCAAACCGGCCCGTCTGGGGATGATTCTGATCACCATGATTCTGTTGTTTGTCACGAGAAAATCCCGGAATTTTCAAAGACAACAACGGGTATTTATTATGGTTATTACCCGAAATTCATGGTGTCCAAATTCCCGAAATGCTCCATAAATTAGATATCATATGTTTTTCC